TCTCTCTCTCTCTCTCTCTCTCTCTCTCTCTCTCTCTCTCTCTCTCTCTCTCTCTCTCTCTCTCTTCGTCGTTGCCCTCTGTGCAGGTACACAGCACCTTCTTCCGCAGTGCAGCTATGACGGACTTCCTTCTCCGATGGTGCACCTCGGCTATGGCACCTGACTGGTGCACGACTCCCTCCATACTAGCAACGACTATGGCGCGTGGAACCAGCTCTGATACAAATGCAATCAGACTCGCTTTCACTTCCACTTCACATACATGCAAACAGATGGAGATTCACACTGGCGCCGGGCGCCCACTCAAGCTTAGAGATATGGAAAACAAGAACACATTTCAGATGCAAGTTCACTTCAACAGGCTATGGCGCATCGGCGCCTGAACATCCCAACCTTCGTCACTCTGTCCAACCCCAATGTTCACACACACTCACTCTGGATCACCCTGAATACCACCACACACACACGCTTAGTCTCACTTCCTCCTACAGCGGCTATGGCCGCACTACCACTACTGACTATGGCTACGATCTCCCTTCAGCCCACTTCGTCTTCGGGCAACCTGCAGACCACCTTCGCACAAGACGCTGTAGCAGCGCTTCCGCATGGCTTACGCAGTGACTGAATGAATGACTGGTCGCTGCCTCTTGCTTTATACTTCTGTAGCTCGTTGGTCTGCCCCTTTCCCATGCCCTGGGTGCACACAGTCCCACACGGTACTTGCTTGACTGGACCCTGACTGACTGGGACTGATACCACTGACTGCATGGGGACATATTGCCAACTCGTTGCAGTAACACTGCTGACGTACTGCAGCTGGCCTCGCCACTTGCCCACTTGCCTCCGTCTAAACGTGAGCAAGCTCCGAAGGGCCACTTCCGGACCTTCCGGAAGTCCGTAGACTTGGCCTTTTGGTACCGTAGCAGCTACGACCTTGACCTTTAAGGAATACAGCAGCTACGACTTTGACCCTTCGGAGGAGCTACAGCTACGACTCCTGGGACCTGCTAAGACCTACAAAGGACAGATCTACAGATCGAACCCCTACAACCTACGGACCTACGACAGCCTACCAACTACTGCGAATACACAAGTCACGGGTTCGACTCTCGGGGTCGACTCAGATACTGTACATAGGTGAAGTGAGGACTAGGGATTGAGCCCTGGGATCTGCATCAGCTACTGCGAAAGGTGGAATCCATTTCACAGTCCAGCATTTCAGCGTACAAGTCAATTGAAGTCGAGCGCTGTAGTCTAGGGTATGAAAAGTCCAAGTCGATTGGAGGGCAGGCGTGGTGAAATCGGAAAAAGTTTGTTACGTCCGGCCGCTTGGCGCTGGCCCGGCAACGCCCCGACAGTACGGGTGCTAGCGCGGGGGCCCCGTACCTTGTGTAGTACCGGCTCTGGTGCGCGGGCCCGGTACCAAGCGCGGTGCTGGCACTGGCATTCAGGACCGGTACTGGCCCTGGCGACGCTTCAACTTCTAAGAAAAAACGATCAGCAGACGATTGGGACCGTCGCGCAGCAAAATGTCGGAGGGCCCCGATCGTCCGCTTGTCACAGGCAGGAACTTAGCGATAGTTATATGCAATGGCTTGCTGTTTTCTGGTCGCCTGTAGCCTCTCTCGGTCGAGGCTGTACTTTAGGTAGGACAGATTCGTAATTTTGTTTGGCTGAGGGCTAACCGAGACACCTACCTATGAGGGGAAATCGTGAGGGACATATCTGCAAATACGGGAAAATACAGGCCCGGTACTAATCAGATTCCCTACAGCTACCCTAACTGTGCATCGCAGGCCCGGGCTGCCCTAGGACAGACAGGCCCTAAGGGCCTATTCTGGATAGATGGTCCTATAGCCTATAGCCGGGTCCAGTAGAGGCCGAGAGGCCAAAACAGATATGGTACCGGTCGGTCAGTCAGTCCGGTCTAAGTTGAGTCTAGGCTAGTTGTAGTCTATAGATAGGATAGGCACATCGGTTCAGGGCTTTTGGCAGTTGGCACCGAGTACATCGCTGCTGCGCTATGCATGAACCGAAGTGGGGACGGCTCAGCGTGGAAGGAGACAGGCGTAGCCAGACCTTCGGAGGGCAGGCCATAGCTGGGACCTGCGCTGTACTCTGCCATGGGCATACCTGGAAGTCTATGTGAGTGAGTGTTGGCCTACAGGCAACAAACAACCAGAATCATAACATATATATGTAGTGATATATATTAAACCAGATCAAGTGAATTGAGACGAGATGCTTCCCAAAGTAGCTAGCGCCTACAACAATAGTGTGCATCTATCTACTTGCAGAACTCCTAACGAGCTGCATAAGTCCTTTAGACTGCATAAGTCCTTTAGACCGCGTAGATCGGGACCAGATTCAGAGATTACCGCCCAGACAAGAGAGTTTGCTCTGCAGCACGAGAAGGAATTTCAGAAGGCGATCAAAAACCGTAGAAAAGCCCAGCATCGCATGATTGAACAAGTGAATAAGCATCGCAGACCCTCGCAATTCAGGGTAGGTGACTTAGTCTGGGTGAAGTCAAAGGAATGCGCACCAGAAATAAAGATCTCGCATAAGCTCTTGCCCGCATATAGAGGGCCGTGGCCTGTCCTAGAAGTCAAAGGTGGAGAGGATGGACCATCATATAGGATAGAGATTCCACCACATCTCCATACATATCCGGTCTTCCATGCATCCAAGTTGTTACCTTGTGTCACCAATCAATAGTTTCCTTCGCGGAGATCAATGATTCCGCCAGAGATGGATGGCACCTATGAAATAGACCGAATACTAGAAACAGATGTATTCTGAACTGGAGGTAGAGGTTGTCCCCAGAATCAGTACAAAGTCCGGTTTGCTTACCAGGAACTTGAGGACGACAGATGGTTCACTAGAACCGAGCTTCTACAAACCGCTCCGGACATAGTGCATGCACTGTATAGTCGCCCATTGACCCTGTATGTTTTGAAGCCGCGACCTGTCCCTAAACTCGTGTACAAATGTTTTGCGCATGTAGTTTGGGTTGTGTGGACTTGAACCGTAGACCTACAGGTTAGTAGTCTTAGGGTCAGTCTATAGGTCTAGCCCTACGTGTGGTGAAAGGTCAGTTCATCGTCGTCTGGGAGGTTCTAGAAGTGTCAACTGACCCTTCAGAGCTTTAGGAGTCAGTCCCTCAGACTCTGAAAGGTCAAGTGTCCCTAGTCTAGTCAGCAAGTACAGCCTAGTCGCCAAGTACCAAATGGGACTGCACATTCTACGGACCAGGGACATTGGCAGGCCCAGACCACTTAACGAAACAGTACAAGTAAAGAGGCAGGGACCAGCCAGTCATTCATTATCTGGTGGACTACGTGGAAGTGCTGCCCAAGTGACTTGTGCGTTATTGGCAGGCCCAGACNCTTAACGAAACAGTATAAGTAAAGAGGCAGGGACCAGCCAGTCATTCATTATCTGGTGGACTACGTGGAAGTGCTGCCCAAGTGACTTGTGCGTTGAAGTTCACCGGTGGTCAGCCAGTGCCCGAAGGTGGAAAAGGGCGAGCGGCCATAGCCGCTAGTAGGAGGGAGACGACGGCGACCATAACGGCCAGTGTAGCAGATAGGACATCTGTGTGTTTGTGAGCGGACATTCAGGGTAGATCCTAGTGCATGTGTACATGTGCATGAGTGAGTGGAATGAGTCTCATGGTGGATACAGTGTGCAGGTGGGAATTTCAGACTGGCGCTCAGACGCCATAGCTACAAGATGTGACAGGTTGATTTGAGCTGAGTCCCTGGCTGAAGGCCGAGTTTTCTGTGTGGGCGTCCTGCACCAGCTCACTCTTGCTGCTGATCCTACTTCGAGGAAGTTGTTCTGCCATCGCACCTGCATGTATGCATGTTGAAAGAGAAGTTGAAGTCAAATCTGATTGCACAAGATAGAGTGAAATGCAACCCCACCACACCCCTGGTTCTTGCATGAAAAGCATCTAGCAAAACCTCTTGGGAATTCCCAACCCTCTTGTACAAAAAGGCCTCTCAACTCTCCCTTTACCCCCAACAATGCATGTGGCACCCCCTTCTCTCTCTCTGACACAGACACACACACACTCTGAGTACGCCCGGGGGCTGATTTTCTTTTTTTTTCAGTTCCAATAAATAGGCGCGGTGGGACTGGTGCTTGAAGTTGGGTTCTGGCAACATACTTACCCTTGCTCCTTCCTCCATGACTTGCATAAGTGAGACCAGTGTGAGACTGATAGAGTCCAAGGCAACCTCTTGAGGAAACCCACTCCAAACTGTTACACTCAGAGCCCCTGAGTCTCCCTCGATCAGTTCCAGCGGTGGCCCACCTTTCGATGCAAAAGTCAGCATGGCCGACATGTCCAATGAGACCGGATCCTTCAGGTGGGAACGAGCAATTGTCACCAACTCCTCCTGAAGATGCACCCTTTCCTCATCGGGAACCAGGTCCGAGTCCAGGGACAACAGTTTCACACAGGATGAAAGATAACCTGCCGGCACAAATGTACACATGCACAATTAGTGTGTGAGGAAAGGAGCTGGAGCAACAGCCATACACACAGTAAGGAAGCTGCCCTCGCTGCATCAGTGCTTGAGAGTCAACGAACAACCATACCATCCATGATTCAAACAACATAAAACCTGACCAGATTCCAATCGCGGCAATGCCACGAGGGCAACTGAGGCACTGTCCCAGCTCGTGGACCAAGCATCTTAAGGCTACTAAGACTGTATCTTATCCTGCGCGCTGAGCACCAGTACATGCATCACCATGATCAGAGTGACGTTTGTTCACTGCTATGTTGACAATGTGAGCTAAACTTGTTTGACAAAACATTGAAAACATCAAGAGGTTTTCCACATCTTCAAATGAGGGAAGTAATTGCAAGCTCAGCTAAGACCCAAATGGCATGCAACTTGACTAAGCGTAACCCTCAACGAGCCTAGGCATCCCCTACTCAACAGCCTGCACCGGAAAGAAGCCCTGGCATTAAGAATGTAACGCATGCAATTCCTTCTTCATCCACAAATTGTTTGCCTAAGTATTTCGGAATTTCCCATTTGCGCACTGTATTGTTTGTCTTCCATGTTTTATTGGAAGATCTGTAAGCGTCCAATCGCATGGTGTGATCCTGCTACTGTAAAAACTATGCTCAACGTGTTCAATCTGGAGAGAGATTTGAATTCAACTGCACTAGTGTTTCCCGAAGTTTGTACAGTACATATGACCTGCAAACAATAAATAAAACAGCAATAGCAAGATGGTACTCAGCTATGTCTGTAAGTCACAGAAGGAAGAGTTATTGATGTTCAGTGGCTGTGGTAGACACTGAAAACAAACTTACTCAAAAATGCATTACTCGCCCCGCCATTTTGCCAACAACGCCGTGCTGCAAGTTTTGCGGGTAAGCCAACCCAGACAAAATGGCTGGAGCGCCAGCCAAAAGGAAGCCCGCACCGGTTCATTTTTTTGGTGCACATGGCATTTCCAGGCTCTGCAAGGGAAGCGTCATAGGTACTGGTGGTTTCAAACATCAGTTAACATGTATATTCTACAGAAATGAGAACAGGTTGTCAACTCAGCCAAGGCCTGAATGGTGTGCCACTTGACTAAAGCCAACCCTCAAGGCAGCTGGGGATCCCTTATCAAACAGCCTGCACCTGAACGAAGGTCCTGCATCTTCATGTATGTCCAATTATGTGTGACACTAGGTTGATCGCGGTGCGCCTACAGAGGCAGGCCCAGCTGGGAAGCCTGGTGACTCACCTGAGGGTCTCCTGCTAGGCTTCATTTCCATGCGCACGGCCCCCTCCGACACGCACGGATGCCCGCACGGGTGCCCGGCCGTGCGGGTCCCCTGGTCAGGCCCCCTAAGGCCTCAGTGCGTGGGCCTTGGGGGGGCAACTTTAGGGACGCCGGGGCAACCTCCCTCCCGCCATCCCCAACCTCGCCCACTCCACTCTGCCATCTCCAACCTCTCTCCCATCATCTCCAACCTGACTCCCGCCACCTCCCATGTCCCTTTCACCATCTCCAACCTCACTCCTGCCACCTCCCACCTCCCTTTCACCATCTCCAACCTCACTTCCGCCATCTTTTACCTCCCTCCTGCCATCTTTAACCTCCTTCCCGCCACCTCCCACCTCCCCTCCCGCCACCTCCCACCTCCCTTCCGCCGTCCCCAACCTCACTCCTGTCATCTTTAACGTCCCTCCCGCTACCTCCCACCTCTTTTCCCACCACCTCCCAACTCCCGTCCGCCATCTCCCACCTTGCTCTCGCCATCTCCTATCTCCCTTCCATCGTCTCCAACATCCCTTCCGCCATATCGAACGTCAGTCCCATCACCTCCCACTCCCACCACCTCACCTCTCTTCCCGCCACCTCCCACCTCCCATCCTCCATCTCCCAACTTACTATCACCACCTCCTACCTCCCTTCCGTCATCTCCGACCTCCCTTCCGCCATCTCGGACGTCACTCCCATCACCTCCCACACCCGCCACCTCCCAACTCTGAACAGTAGAAGTCAGTGAGACCCCACCCAACCCTACCCCACCTCACTCCCATCACCTCCCACTCCCGCCACCTCACCTCTCTCCCCACCACCTCCCACCTCCCTTCCGCCATCTCCCACCTTATTCTGACCACCTCCTACCTCCCTTCCGTCATCTCCGACCTCCCTTCCGCCATCTCGGACGTCACTCCCATCACCTCCCACACCCGCCACCTCCCACCTCTGAACAGTAGGAGTCAGTGAGACCCCACCCAGCGCCTACCCCTCCCCCCCCGCCGCCACACTCAAAATACTGCTGTTGTAAACGAGTGCAAACAGGGCAGATTTGGACAGATCTCTGCAGGCGCAACAGAGGCTCCTCACCGAAAAAAAGAAAAAAGAAAACAAAACATGAAAAAAGCCTTGCACAGGTGACCCGTGCAGCCGCCAGGCCGTGCAGGCTGCACAGGCGCACGGCCATGCCCGACCGGGCAGCGTAGAAAGCCTAGGTAAAAAAGTTCATAACTTTCCGCTCTCGGTGAGACGTTTCTGCACCCACTGAAAGCAGCCCAAATTTGGGCTCGTTCTTGTTTTAAAGTGTTGTCGGGTGCCCGGGGTGGCAGTTTTAAAAATGGGGTTTAAAGCGGCTAAAGGGCTCTAAAGTGTGGAGCCTTAGTTCAATATTGTTCGCCTTACTGAATTCCAATGAGCCAAAAATCGCTTGCATTGCATTTCTACACAACATATTTTGTTTCCAGGATGTTAAGAATTTTCAACAAGGTTTTCTATGTTGCGCTCGTTGCCATGGACATGGCCATTACCTTGCCCAAACCCTTGCTTGGCCAGGCATCCTAGGCAGCTAGAGCCACCACCGCACACCGAACAACAACCACCGCTACCTCCGAGGCTCTTTTTCCCGTGGCGGACTGTGTTCCGCGCCAACTTCAACACGAACTGGCACAACGCTTGTTTTACTTTTCCTTTATGGCTGGCCTTGCCAACTGAAGAGGTCCGGGAAGCCAATCCTTGAAGAATGCTGAAGTAGGCAACTTTGTCGCAACAATTTGCCTTTGTAGTGATGGTATAAAAAGGTCCTCTTGGCCCTGGTTCCTTGTCTATTCTGTTGTCAGCCCAGTTTCAAACCACTGGGAAGTTGGGTAACAGATACAAGACAAAGAAATACACGACTCTTCCTTCCATCTCGGTCGAAGGATCCATGACCAGCATTGATTGTTGCCCTTGAGGGAGTATTAGCTGTCAGATTGAACGCACTGCTAATGTTTCTCACAATCTCATCTTGAGCTGAGACTGCCGCGATTGTGAAAAAACAAGAGCAATGGACCTACAGTCTGATATTGCTTAGAAAGTACTTGTTACTCTCCTGGGGGAAATTTGGAGAGCATGCATCTGCTAACACTTCAGGATGGGTGGAGAGAGAAGAGTCCCCCAGGTTGACAGTTGGCCAAACGACCTGATCTCTGCCAATAGAGATAAGGTTAACAACAATCGTATTTTTCATCACCACTTCAAGACACCCTTCACCAGTTCAGGATGCAGCCTGCCTAAACAGGTGGTTTTCGGGGTCTTCGAACCTTTCACCACTTCAAGACCATTCAGGATTTTCAGGCTGCCCAAAACTCTCACTTCACCACTTCAAGATGCAGCCTGCCTGCACAGGTGGTTTTCAGGGTCTTCGGAACCCTCACCACTTCAGGACCATTCAGGATTTTCAGACTGCCCAAAACTCTCACTTCAAAATTTTCATTCCTGAATTTTCAGCTACCCGTTAACCGCTTGTGTAGCAGCCTCTTAAACAGTTGTCGAGTGTTCACATTATTTGCTATCTTCTCTTACAGCAGCCAGCCCTTGTCGAACGCCCTCTTCTTGGTCTTGAATTGTTCTGGCTTGAGATTCACTAAGATTTTAACGAAGCCCGATTTGTATTGAATTTCCGTTCGTGCCATTTGGACCAGGAATGACCAGGCCCCCTCTCTCGTCGTTATATCCTTGTCAATGGTCTGGGCACATCTTCTCTTCCAGGTAGTCCATAGAGCTAGCTTCTTGAGCAACAGGAACCAGTTTTACTTTCAAGCTATAACCATATTTGTGGCTAACCATATTTGCGGCTCAACTGTGTGGCGCATTGTGAATGTTGACGCAGACACCGCACGCACAGGTGCAGTGCGCAACTCCGCGCGGCACGCTAAAGTGCAAGGGTGTTTTTCATTTTTTTTCCCTCTATGTTTATGTGTCCCTGTGACAGAGAAAGAGAGAGAGAGAGCACTGTACTTGAAAAACGACGTAGGTCGACTTGCTATATCGGCCCAAAAAAAGCAAAACAAACAAAGAAAAGGAAAAAAAGAACAGGAAATTAGAAAAATAAAAAAGAACAAAAGTCGATCGCGGCAACTGTATCAGCCAAAGCTGGTTGTATAGATACGAAGAGATGGGTAATAGTCACTACCCAATTCATGAAGTGGCTGCTAACAATCTCTATCCGTAAATGTACATAGCAACCTTCCAGGCACGATACAATCATTACGCGGGTGTGTCATGTGGCCCAAAAGAAAGACAAAACCGAACGCCCAAAGTGCATGTGTCAGCACCACCGTCTGAAATGTGAGGTATGTCTCCAGCACATTGGACTGTCATTATAGCCCTCACTTCACTACTCAGTACATGCATGAAAGAGAAAAATTACGGTGGTTAATCTTTTCATATCTAGCGGAAGATTCATTCTCATTTTGCACATTTGGTGGCGGAGTGGTAACGACCCGGGGAACTCCCATTATTTTTGGCAAAAAAGAAGTGCCCAACCGAAGAGGGCCCAGGCCCTTAACTATTGGAATGGGCCTGGGTGCAGAGACTGGGGCCCGACCGGAAGCTACTGGAAACTTCCTCGGCCAGGCCCAAGCAGCCCAGCAGGGCCGCGACTCCCATATAGCGAGGAGGCCGGTCAGGGGAAGATATGCTGGCCTAGGCAGGCAATGCAAA